GGACTGTACTGAGGACACAGTAAGGTTTTCATCACAGCTTGGCTCAAAATAATCTCCAAAAATCTGTGGGAGCTCTGTCTTTCCCTTCCTTCCCTGGTGGCTTTCTAAAACCAGGGTCGTGTGTTTTATTTTTGGCAAGGTTTCCTGAAATGATTTGGTATTTACATGTGAAATGGCTGTGCTCAGAATATATGATTAATTGTTTTGTAATGTCACCACAGGAATGTGCATGCTTTCAGTCTGGTTGATTTTATCTTAATTAAATGTACATTTACAGCAAAATAGCATAGCATAACGGAGAAAACAGTTTATATCCTAAAATGTTGCTCCACTAGTGACAAATGATATCTAAAAAAAAGTTTGAGAATTCTGCAGCCCTGACAGCACATGCCGGACATTAAAGCAAGACTTTATTTTTCTCAGGCAGATTTAACAAGCACATCTAAGCAGCAACACATCCTTAACATGCATATCATCAGAATTTGTCTTGAGATTTGTATCTCGACAACTATCTCTGCAGTGGAAGACTGGAACTGCTTATTGTCCATCAACAAAACAACTCACGGCCTTCTGCGTTCAAAAGCCTTGTTTCGACATTGCTCAGGGACTTCACTAGTTGCAAATGTGTTTAAGCTGTTTTATAATTTAAAAAAAAAGTAAGAATGCAACAGGATTCATATCAAATCAAGCATGCAAAGCCAGCCTTCCTTGCTCAGACTGGTATCTGTGAGGGTAAAATGTGCACTCAAGGTTTGCTTGCCTGACAAAAAGCTACACAATTTATTAATACAAGTAAAAATGGCTTTTAGAACATTAAATGATACGATGTTATGTTTTTTCTCTTCTGAAAACTAAAAATTGACTCTTTCAGGACTACCTGGATGCCCTCATGGGTGTGTGCTATGACGGCGTGGAGGGGCTCCTCTATTTCTCTTTGTGTTCTCTTCTGGCTGCCTGCGCACTCTCTGCCATGCTGTGTGTAATTTTCCGACTGTGGACATTAATGGGCAGCAGGTCAGAACTGAGTGAACTGCCCCCCCCCCCCCCCCCCACCCAAACCCCCCCCCCCCCCCCACCACCTCATTGCGTACTGCCCAGCGTGTACGTTTGCAAAATGTTCACCCTCCGTTTTGTCTCTGTACTTCTGTCTCGTTGTGTGGTTCTTTAACTCTCATCCAGGGAGAAGGAGTACAACGACATCGATGAGGAAGACCCGTTCAACCCACAGGCGCGCCGGCTGTCGTTTAACCCCAGAAGGTCCAACACGCATAGTTTCTGCAGCTACATCAGCAGCCTTGGCAGCCAGGCCAGCCTTCATCCACCTCCTCAGTCTCAGTCTAATTCCACCATACAGCCTCCTGAATATATGTAAGGCTCAGCAGCGGATGACTGCGTTTTTGAATCTACATATTTAGCCTCTTAGATTTTTTTATATTTTTTTTTCCCCCTCTTTGCTTAACAGGAATCAGTCCATGCTGTTCGGAGGAACCCCTCGGTATGAAAACGTTCCGCTCATAGGGGGAGGATCTCCGCCTCCTTCGGTTCGTTGGCCTTATGAGGCTCTAGTGACCGTAGTCTGATAATGATATGCAACAGCATGCAGAACATTATAATGCTAGTACAACACACACAACCTCACAGGGTCGGAATATACTCAAGGAACTTCTGTTCCAATTCAAGTGACTGAAGAGAGACATCTGATGGCCACATGTAGAAGTGCATCTCATCTGTGCATATTCCTTCTTGTTTGCTATTAGCATGTTTTTATTTTTTATTACAAGATAATGAATTGTTCTCTAGTTAATACAAAACATTTGCTCATGTGCGAGCTGGTTAAGCACCATATGTTTTGCTTCAGTTTAGTAAAGCCCACTTAATTGTAGCGTAGTGTGTGTTTTGTCTCCAGAGCTCAGTGATAAATAATAGATAAAAGATGGAAGACAGATAAATCCACAGTCCACATCTCGGCTCTGTGATGTTTTCTTCCTGCGAAGATTTCTTGCTTCTGTGGCTTGAGCAGCTTTCACAGCATACCAAAGACTAAAAACACCTTTTGTGTGGGTGAAGGCAAGCGAGAATCTGAATCATTGTCTGAAATGTTGCTATGCGAGGCACATTTTTTTATCAGTTACAGATATCTTTGCTTTCTGTCTGCTCATAACAGAGAAGTTGGAAGCTTTAATAAAACACATGCTAAATAAAAAAAACAATAAAAAAAAACTTGAGTTTGCCTACATTTGTAGTTATGGTTTGGATTTTTTTTTCTCTTTGGTTTTACTGTGTCAGCTTTTCTGCATTTTGCTTTTTTGTTTTTCATGCAAGCAGTCTGTCAGTGACATGTCTAACAGCTCTGTGAAAAACTTTTCTTTTTTAATCCCCAACTCAGACTTTGATAACTGTAAGTTTCTATTGATGTTCATTCTCTTCACTTTCATTCATCTTCATTCCATATTTTTAACACACACCTTAGACTCCTTAGATATTGTAACTTTGACCCAACGACACTCAGTTACCCCAACTCTGACCTCCTAGCACTGTCTGACTGTTGCATGTGAGTGTAACTCTACCTTTTGCTTATGCTCTATTTTACCTGCTTTTTACATTTTGTTTGTTTACCTACCTCCAAACTATGCGAGTTTAAGACTGAAAAACAGGGAAGAACTGAAAATTATTTCCCAAATTGAATCTACATTACATTATTTATACATATGTGATAACCAAGCTGCATCAACAGCACTTTAAAGCTAACTTCATATGTCTCTTACTTGCAGTATTCGCCCAGTATGAGGACCACATACCTGTCCATGAATGATGCCCAAATCAGACACTTGAGGACTGACTTCCAGGTGTAAGCTGCTGCCTGCTGACCCCTTCTCCGTGCATCAGTCAGAGCAACTGAGTTCCTGCTGAGAAAGCTGTCTTCATGACATAATCCTATTTACGGGAACAACAGACTCTTGTCCGATCTCAAGCATGAAAGCAGGCCGTATGAGACAGTTACTTCAGTAAGACGTCAGTGCAGTGTTTGAAGACGCCTGAATGCAGTTTTGAAAAGAGATGGCCTCAAAGACATCTGTTTCTTTTATGGAAATCCTTAAACTCAAATTGAGACATTTCGGTCAGTCATATTCAGAATTTTTAACTGAAATAATCCAATCTTTTTTTTTTTTTTTTAAGTATCATGTGAAAACTTTTGACAATGTGACCTTGCACATTTTCTAAATATTACTTGCATATGTAATGAAAACTTTATCATAGCTTGTAATTTTGCTCAGAAGAGCCAAGGATGCCTTTTTACAATAAGTCTTAACTGACATACCACAGGTGTTTTATGCAACATATGAGGATGTAGACGCATGTGTGAAATAAAATTGACATTTAAGTCTTTAATTATTTTTATCTTTTTCAATTATGTCACAAGTGAGAAAAAAAAATGTGTGCATCAGTACAAATAAATGGTTTCTCATAATATCGTGGCTTATATAAATGCAATTTACTAAAAGGAAACAATCTTTTAAAGATATTTCTGTAAATGTTATTTGTTTTAATGCTGACTAATGTTTCAAGCTACAGAAAAAGAAAATACAGCAGATTTTAAGTCAGTGCCTATAGTTGTAATAATATTGGTTTTAAAAGAATTCAGTGTGACATGATCCATTTAATATATGCTGAAGACAAAACTATTCATTCACCTGGAAGATTTACATTATTTTCATCAGCCAAAATGTTTTGCTTCTAAAAGGGAATAAGATGAGTGATTACAAATCATTGTGAAAAATAGTATCTGCTTTCCATACAAAATTATCTATTTGCATTTATAGCTTAAGGGAAAAGGATACATCAAATTATTTATACACTTCTCAATAATAAATTTTTTTTTAAAAATCTTTAAAAACAACATTCTCGCCCTTCTTATAAAAGAAGAACCGTCTTCAGCAGCAACAGCGTAATGTAGTCATGTAGTCATCATTAGCATCATTAGCTTACGCTTCTTTATACCACCATATCATTAAGGTTTCTACTCACCTCTTTCAGGATCCATCAAGGTCCAAAGTCTACAAAGCAAGCCCATATATAAGCCTCATGAATATTTTTAAAAGTTAACAAGATGTGTTTGTACTGATCTGCTATGTTCTGTTTTCTCCAAACGTTGCTTTGTTCGCTGTGATCAACCATTGGTCCTAAGACAAAGTTTCAGGAGCCTACTGAAACTCAAACCCCTGCTTGCATGGAGGTGCTTACACCTTCTGATTATCAATTAATCAATAGTCAATACACTATTTGCTGCATCAAAAGCAAATAGTGCTACTTTTCTATTTCGATAGTGTAGACTTAGAAATAGTGAAGCTCTTTTCAGCAGCTCTAGTAATGACAATGATTTTTTCCTGTAATCATGTTTTTTTGAACAAAAGATAGCCAGAAACAACAGAAAGATGTGGTAAAATCAGAAGTTCTAGATTTTGTACCACGGTTGAACACAGATTTGCAGCTCTGACACATCTGCCAGGTCTAAAAAAAGAACAAAAAAAAAACACTTTGAAGCACTTTCTAATTATGCCTTGATTGTTTTGAACATAACACCATACTGGAATCAGGATACCACTGATGGGTAATTTTTTTTTTTTTTTGTGCAAAGATGATTGCTCTTAATGGCACTAAAAAAAAAAAAAAAAAACAACAACCCTAAAACAATAGTCCATTTCTTGCTTTTATCACCAGCAATTTCACACTGTTACAGCAAAACTTGCAAAAACATTTATTTTCATATGAACCATTTCAATTTTTGTCACAAACCTAAAATCACACATTTATTCTCTCGACAGGAGAAGTACTAGTCATTTCCTCCACAACATGCTTTATAGTCATTAAGAAAAAAAAAAAAATAAAATAAATAAATAAATAAATAAATAAATAAATAAAAATTAAAGAAGGAGCTGTCCAAGGTGCTAGCCATCAATCAGTAGGGGGTGCTGTCGTTTGAAATATAACATTGCAGTTTTTTTCTTTTTTTCTTTAGCTTTATGAAAACTGATGTCGTCATATGGCTGCTGTTATATTCTATGTAAGAAATTATCTTAGCATAAGATTAAGTGGTACCTAAATTTGAAACTTAAATCCCGAAGCGTAGTCATACCTCGGACGCCTTGTCCTTCCTCGCCTGCCGTAGGAAACAAGACGAAAATCGTGCGGGCATGGCGTAAGCAGCTAGCCTGCTAGCCATTTGAGGCTGCTTATTACTATAACAAAATGCTCTATAACAAGTCACATTTTGTGTCTCGATAAGGGAGGATGTGGCTAAATAATGGGAAACGTCTTTGGGAGAAAGAGCCGATCCTCTCGTGTAACGGAGCAAGACAAAGCCATTTTGGTAAGCTGAGGAGGGAGCTCCGTGAGATGAGCACAAGGCTATTATCGTCGGACAAAATTAAACAAAAAAATATCTGGGCTTTATTAAACGGAATACCGCTTGCTACATTATATCCATTACATATCTTTCTGAGTTTGTGCTCACTTTTGCAGCAACTGAAGCAGCAGAGAGATAAACTGAAGCAGTATCAAAAGAGAATCACCTTACAGCTGGAGAAGGAGAGTCTTCTGGCTAAGCAGCTGTTAAAGGATGGCAAGAAAGAGTAAGCAGACCCCGAGATGCAAATGACAGCAGTTTGTAGCAGATCCCAACCAGTGGCATCACTTGCTGTGTTCCCTCTATTTCCGCCGTTTAAAGCTGAGCGTTTTGTGTTTTAACTTGTTGCAGAAAAGCACTGCTGTTGCTTAAGAAGAAACGCTACCAGGATCAGCTACTAGAGAAAACTGAGAGTCAGATTTCAAACCTAGAGCGTATGGTGAGTTTTTTTTTTTTTTTTTCTTGTATAAAAATATATAAACATCTGTCTGATTACGCTGAGGTGAAGTCTATCGACAGTCAAACAGGATTTTATCCTCACTTTAAAACAAAGACAAAATCATAACAAAGGTCACAGTTTATACTGTGTTTGGCATTTTATTTAACTTTTACACAGTTGGCGTCTTTGATGCAGTTAGCTTTACTAGGTGTAGACTTCATTTTCTGTCTGTATTTCCTTGAGTGAAGTGAGTTTTTGTTCAACTGTGAGATTTCCAAACCATTTCCTAATCCAGCATGACCTGATCTGTGACAGATAGTCAAATTCTTCAAAATAGACCAGCTTTGCTGTAGTATTTAGCTTTTAGGTATTTTAAGTTTCACACTCTGAAATTAACATCCTAAATTTATTTTTCGTTTTAAACATCTCAGTGAGTGATATTGAAAAATAGCTATGTTTTCTAATGTTAGTGACTTATTAGGATATAAAGTCATACTTAAAATGATCAGATTCTGTCCCCATCTTTGTGCAACATTAAGCTAATTGTTAAATCTTGACAAATGACTTAAATGTGACAAAACAACTCGATTCACCATTTTTGACTTGACCGGTTTGTTTTGTCGGTGTGCTTGTCGGTTACTCTGTAACTACATTTTGAAAAAATATAATATTTGTCAACAGGTTCAAGACATTGAGTTCATGCAAATCGAGGTGAAAGTCGTCGAGGGGCTTAAAATTGGCAATGAATGCCTGAAAAGCATGCACGAGGTACATATTTAGTTTTTTTTTTTTTTTCTTTCTGCTCTCTGTTTAGAAATGTGCCTTTGCACATTCGTTGTATTCATGCACCCTTAAGCTGTCTGTCCATCAGTGTATCAGTGTACACTGTAACTGTGTCAGAGTTTTATCTGATAGGAATGCTTTCTATAATGTGATCCCTGCAAAAAAAAAAAAAAAAAACGAGCAGCGCAGAAGGCTTTTGGATCGTGGTACAACAACATAGCTGTTGCACATGGCTTTAAGATTAAAGGATTAAAGAAAAGCCTCGGCGACATCACTCTGAATGCTGCACATGCTTAGATACTTAGACCTTGCTTTAGGGGATTCACAAGTCTGACAGAATGTGAAAAAAAACTAATATTTTAGTTTGAAATTTAAAACAAAATTCAATGTGTTTTCTTTTTTTCACAGATCATGTCAATAGAAGATGTGGAAAAAATCCTGGATGAGACCCAAGAATCAATTGAGTATCAAAGGGTAAAACAAATTAACTTCAGGGTAACCTATATGCAAATGATTCCACTTCCTGGATAGTTTTATTTGTTTACTGCTTTTAAATTACCTTTTTTTTTTTTTTTTTTTACTTCAAATAGTGCAGATAGCCTGTAATTAAGTGCAGATATGCATCAACAAGTCCTACATTTTGCATTTGCAGCACATAGATGAAATGTTGGCTGGAGCCATGACACACGAGGATGAAGAAGCAGCTTTAGCAGAATTAGAAGCCATCACTCAGGTGGGTTCTAAGATGGATGTTAAACTTTATATTTATTCTAAAAAATGTCTCATCGACCACACATCTCCCTTCGCCGCTCCACCTAAATTTGTCCATAACGTCGATCCTGAACTGTTGGTTGCGTCTTCTGGAGAAGAGCTGATTCATATTAATTTACATATTTAATTTCAGATTTTTAATAGGTTTCCGAGGGATTTTCAGCAAGTCACAGCCGTGTAGGAATCTAATTACAAGTTGTAACCGAAACAATTGTGCTCATGAATTATGCAGATTTGTGGGGATTAAAGTATGTATTGTGCTCTAATTGTTTTTAATGATACACTCTGTCAGATTGTAAAAAAAATGACTATGTTTCATAATTGAGTGTTGACACTGGTTCAATGACTGCATTTATTCTTATTATATAAATAAAACTCAAAGATTTGAGTGGATTGAAAATAACTGTATTTAGGGTAGAGTTCATCTTACCGGAGAAGAGCAGCACATTTCCCTCATATTTGATCACCTACAAATGTCTTATCTGTTATCAAAAAACAAACAAACAAAACTTAATGAATATCCAAAGATCTGACAAAAATTGTGTTTTATTTGATTGTGGATGTTTTGCTTTGAATTACACACACAAGTTCATGTATTGCCTAACTTCAGTTATAAATCCAGTTAAATTCAGTTTTAAACAGCCGCATCAGAGGCTTTATCCAGGAAAGAGAAGCAACAAAACACTGAAACATTCAGGCAGGTGTAATTTCTATGGCACACACAGGGTTAATTTCAGCAATAGTAATTGTTAATGCTGACTGAAACCTAAACTGTTGCTTAACTTGCCTTGCACTTTTGATTTGCTTACCTCTGGTACAATAAAAACATCTTCTGTCCAGATCTAAGAATCATATATTCCCATCATTTTTTTTTCTTATACCCGATTTTGTTGTAAATGTCTGGATTTAAACTAGATATCAGGAGATACAATCCGAGATGAGAGTTTATCTCTTGAAAGAAGAGCCAAACTTCAGGAATTATTTGGCTTGAAAAAAAATAAAAAAATAAAATAAAATCCCCAAAACATGTACCCTTTTATGTATGATTTACAATCTCACTGTCTCCAGTTGAGATAGTCTTACATCAGCTTCTGCAAAAAGGAGGGGAACAAAACAAAAACAAAATAGCTTAAATGCACACCTTTCAAGCTCAGCTACATTCTGCAGTGAACCGTGAAAATAATAAAAACAGGTTTTGTGGAAGAAGATGTTCTGGATGGATGAGTAAAATATGGACCTTTTTGGCTTTACTTGAGGAATACCACACCAGTTTATTTTTTATGCTAATGACTTCAAGGTGCTTGAGGGTTGATTCTTATGATAGCATTTTTAATGAAGCAGTTTTTTATCTCAGCCTCAAGCTATTAATAAATAGAATAAAGGTGAGCAACAACTGGGTGTTCATGAAGTCTGTAAATACCTTTTTTTTTCTTTTTTAGCTTGTGAATGAAACATTCCTTTAAGCCTCCAGATGGTTTTATTTTGCTTTGTTTTGCTTTTCTTCTTTTTATTCAGGAAGAAGATGTAGCACTGCCAGAGGTTCCTACTGACCTTGTACCAGAGATACCAGAAGCTGCTAACGTTGAAACAGGTAGACTTTATCTTTTTATTCTGCTCTTCTAAAAATGTTTCAAACTTAATTTTGTTCTTATTTGTTTTTGTTTGTTTGTTTTTAGAGAGGAAAGAAGCAAGGAAGCAGGAGGATAGAGAGATGCTGGCAGCCTAAGAGGATTTCTGGGCGATACCCAGCACTGATCTGCAAATAAAGCCCCTTTAGTTTTGTAACAAGGGGAGGATTTGTATCCAACATAGACTTTTCATACAGTTTACAGGAGCATAAAGTTCAATATTGCATTTCTGTCTGTTCAATTTGGAGTCGTTTCATAGTCACTGTGCTGGTTAAGGCATGTAGAAAAAAAATAGGATTTTAGATGTTTTAAAATGACCATGAAATAATAAAACATAAAATCGTTTTACATAAACTAAGCTGTAAAAAAAATAAATAAATAACAGTTTGGACTTTTTCTATCAAGTTGTAGAGCATGCATTTATCCAGAAGAGGGCATTGTTTGCTTTCTTTTCTGTGGTAATACGCTTTGACAATATACTACGTCCCCTTTATAATGTCATCAGTGCAGTGAAGGTGTTTATTGTCAAAAAATAAAAAGCTTGCTGAAAGTGGGAGTTACTTGGGAGAGGGATATGGTATGTACAGCACTAGATTCAGATTTGTGCTGAACTTCACGTGAAGCTCAGCACAAAAAGATCCCAGTGGTGTTTCGTAAAGCCTCTTTGACTTGCAGCGTTTGCACATGAAATGTTATATTGGAACCGGAGAAGCCGCCTAATAACGGTGGATAAACTATACATATACTGAGATCTAAAACACATTGTTCCAAATGACCCAATGAACATAAATCAGACATATGGCCCAACTGAAAACTTTTTGACAATTACATAAAACATTTACTTCATAGTACAAATCAAATGTATATAATCAAAATTTGTAATTTCTGTGTATTGATCAGTCTCCACTTGGTCATATGTGTGTGAGGCGGTCACCAAATCTACAATTTGACCAGATAATGCTACATTCACGACTGTAGGGATTTTGCCTTCGATGTACTTGCAATGAAATTAAACTTATTATTCGTTATGTGGCTATTTCCTTGGGTTAAGCCATGACTCTCTCTATGTGCTATATGTATGTCATGTTAAGGATAACTTCGCACAGTATTTGAATACCACCCAATATCTTCGAGATTGTGAAAAACACGACATTCGGGTTCGGTCCGTGAATGCAACAGCGGGCTGTCAAGCGTCGGAGAAGGAAGGTGTGTTTAGTTTGTAGGTTTCGGGAGCGCAACCATATTCCTGCGGTGGCGTTTGTGTCGCTCCCGGTGAGCTCAAGCCTGCTTTTTCTACCTGTTCATTCACTCGTTTATTCTTTTTTTTTTTTTTACTCGGATAAACGCTTTTGCGATAAAAACCGTTTATGGTCCTGGCTGAAGATTTCACCATGTCTCGAACTGACGAGGTTCATCGCTTTACGGAAAATGTTTATAAGGTAAGGCTGAACTAATGAACAAAGTTTGGAGACATACATTGTGCTTATTTGTTTGGCCATTCAAAATGCGTAGACGTGCAATGGTAATTTTCTTGTTAACATCTACCAAAAAAGCGCACAAGCTGAGTTGGTTGCTATATTCCAAATTCACAGTCTTTAAAGAAAAAAAAAGAAGTCATTTTCGTGACGTCCAGCCATGTTTCTCAGGTTAATTAGGGCGACACCTTCCAGCCAAAACTGCTCACGAACCTGCAAAATCAGGGTCACCGTCTCATTACATGAAGGCCTGTTGAATTAGTCCGCCTCTGTGCTCATGACAGTTTAGGTTCGGTTAGGCTAGTCCCTGTAAACCGGTGGATTTATAGAAGCCTAGTTCTTTGAAATGGGAACAGTCTGCATTCCAGAGGACTGTGTTTGGCAGGGAGGGTTGAGTCTCTGTTGCAACAAGTAAACATTTGTTCTCTTCCTCTCAAACCTGATTTTCATACAAAGACCTGTGTGGACTTGGTGGCCGCCACCGTTTAATTCTAAAACACGGGAATGAGGTTAAAAAGTTGTGATTGTATTTGACTTGAGGATAAAAGTCCTGTCAAGTAGGTTAATTTATCTGATGTATGCTATCTGATCTTTGAACCAGCATGAAATGACACCTGATGAGTAGTTGTATAAACGGCTGATACAATCTTGTGTGTGTATGTATATATATATATATACACACACACACATAGACTTGGCTCCAACCAAGTCTGGTTCTTGATTCAAGTCCTGTATCTTTCATTTATTATTTATTTTAAGATGCCCAAACTTTATTCCAGTCCTATTGGCTGAATCCATCATTTCAGACAAATGATTTTTGCTGTAAAGTTAATTTATTCCAGTAATTTAGCTCTCTATGAAACACATTATGCAGATTAATTACACACTGACATTTTCAAGCCTTTAGTTTTGTTAATTATGATAATTTCTCCTTACATCTATTGAAAACAGGACAGTTATGGACTAGGAATTTACATCAGATGAATAACAAAACAATTTTAAGAAATATGGGCTTAGTGAAATGCATGTGTAATACCTGCGTAGAGGTTATTTTCAAAAGGTACTAACGATCCCATCGAAACGGATATCACAATTTTATTTTTAATATAGCTCTACATCCTTCCTTGTCTTCAATTTTTCTGTTTTTGTTGCACATTTAAAACCTGATCCATTAAACAAAAATGGCTGAAACGTATGGCAAATGTTGGTATTGAGACTGATGACTGGAAGCTTTGATTAGCGTACAATTTTCCAGAGTTGGAAGGATTATTCCTTTTCTTGTAGTGATGTGGGTTTATCAAGGACTATGGTAGGTCTTCCTCTTAGGGTCAGTTGAGGTTTTGTGTAAATTTTGTTCATTCAAGTGCAAACGCAGCAGTGAACCTTTGTCACTGGGGAGGAGGCACCCCGTCAGAGCCCTGACAGGCAGGAACTCTGTGGGGCAGCGGAGTGGTAAGGCAGTCCCTCTCCTACTCTGGGGATCTGACCCAGTGGCAAATAACACCCTAGCAAGATTTTTTTTTTTTTTTTTTTTTTTTTTTTTTTTTTAAAAAAAAAAAAATAAGAGTTTAATTTTTTTTTTAATTTTTTTTT